AAAAGAATGTGTGTATATATACATAAAACAAAAATTTAATTTAAAAAACTAAAGGATAAAACAGAAAATGGATTTTTACATAGTTTACTAGCAAGTAAAACATTTATGTACTGATCTCAGGTGAAAAAGGATAGAAAATTATATACAGAATTGAATCACAAATACAAATAAATTATAAACAGAATTGCATCACAAATGCAAAAACCACGTGGACCCATAAAAAAGGGGGCGAAACAGCATTATGACCAAGCCGTGTCTGCAGTGGTTGGTTCTAGGGGTGATTTTTTTCCTTACACATACTTTTTAATATGTCCCCAATTTTCCTTAAAAATACTTGCCCAAATGTGACAGCTTTAAAATCCATTCATGAACTTTCTGACGCTTCTCCTTCTCCAGAGCCAGCTCCCTCCCAAGTGGAGAGCTTAGTGAGCTGCATCTGATGGATGAAGAAAGTGCAAGGGACCCCGTGCGGCTTCAGACACCATCTTAGGAGGCCTGTGTGCTTGCTCTCTTTGTGACTGAACCATTCTGAAAGCGACAAACCTCTCCCCTGTTGCCCCCATTTTATGATCTCATGAGACCCTGGGCAGAACCACCTACCTAAGCTGCTCCCGAATTCCAGACCCACAGAAACTGTGGGAAGATAAATGCCCGCTGTTTTTAAGCTACTCAATCTGGGGGGCTATTATGTAGCAATAAATAATACACCCTATAGCACTCATTTTAAAAAGAAAAGTCCCAGTGAAGCTAGTCCAAGTATCTGTGGCAGATATAGGGGAGTCAGAGCCCACACCTAAAAGAGGAGTTCCAGGTCAAGTATTGAGAGCAGGGTAGAGTCTCTGAGCTGCTGGGCACACCCAAAGGACGTGGGAAATTGGGAGAAGGAAATGCTCCTGGCAGAACGGAGAAAAGCAGAGGCCAGAGGGGGCTACAAAGGAAGAACCAGGAGCCTGTGAGCAGAGGAGGTGGTACGCAGGCAGGGGTGTAGGGTGTCTACGGTTGGCTGCTGCCAGCACACCGAGGACAGAGACCCATTCAATCGCTGCGGGACGGGCAGAGCCAGGCGAAGGGTCTGAGGGTGGAGAAGCTGGGGCCAAACACAGGAGAACCCAGCTCCGGATGACTGCTCCCCACCCCGTGGAGGATCCTCTTTGTGCCAGTCCTCCCGTGCTGCCTCCTGCCCTCCTCTCCCTTCTCTGTTGGAGCTGTGCTCAGAAAACTGCCTGGAAAGCTGCTCCAGCTCCTTTTTATTCCCGGAAACTGCTGGTGCTTATCAGGCCTGAGGCCCTCACCAGGTCCTGCCGCCTTTTCCCTTCTTGCCTCGGTTGTACTGCTATTTCCATCCTTGCGTCTGAACTTAAATCTTGCTCAAACCAAGGGCAATTACAAATGAGGAGGACCCTGCTGCCTTGGAGGGCCACAGTCCCACGCCCTTAGCAACTGCTCCTCGAGTTTTGGGAGGGACTGGCTGGTAGGCACAGAAATGTTTCTGTCACATCTCCACCCTTCGGCAGTGGAGAGTCCACAAAGCCTGCTTGCCTCAGAGTGATTTTGCAAGGATGGTTGGGAGATGACAGTTTGCTATGCTCTGGTGCCATGAGTGATCCATGTCACTACCCTAGACTTGCACGGTCCTGCTCTGGGACACACCGGGCAGGCTGTGATTTTCTTCTGGCTGGGCCCCCTCCTTCCTTCACAGGCCCAAGATGTAAGGCTCAGCAAGGTGAACCAGTTCTTCTTCCTACCAGCAGCTGGCGCTGTCTCCTGCCTGGCCAGGCCGAGAAATAAGCCAGGGTAGGGTGGGGGCGGAGGGTATACTCCTTTAGTGGCAGCTGCCACCAGGCGGATGCCTGCTGGCTTTGCAGAGAACAATGGCTGCCTGTTACAGAGGACAACTGTCTCCCAGACAGGAAGACAAGGCTGTGCACGGATGGAAGGCAGGCGGGGAGCCAGCGAGCAGGGGACCAGGAAGCAGGGAGGAACAGCCCGGCAGCCACTGATGCTAGAGGCTTCATGTAGTTTTTTTTTTCTTCCTCCTCGCTCCTGCCTTTTCCCTACATGTTTGCACTAATGCTGTAAAGTAACGCAGTCAGAAAGGAAATGGCAAAGGAAGGGAAATCAACTTCTTGCCGCCTGCATGGCTAGGCAGAGGCAAACCTCCCGCTGGAAAACAAGCTGCACAGATCCCTTGACACCTCCCAGTGGCCTGTCACTTTGTCTCCTGCCTGGCCAAGGGCTCTTTGGGTCTAACATGAACCAACACTTTGGCAAGATACAATAAAAAACAATTATTAAAAAAAAAGAATTACCAGATATAAGCATGCAAAATTGGTCATGAAAAAAAATTTATTTGAAGACAACAATATGCACTATAACAACCATTTTTGAATTCCTACCATCTTGTTTAGTGAAGCTCTGTCTGGTTTCTTTTTTTCTGAGACAGGTCTCGCTATGCAGTTCAGGCTGGCCTTGAGCTCACTTTGTAGCCCAGGCTGGTCTTGAACTCACAAGGATCCTCCTGCCTCACCCTCCCAAGTGCTGGGATTACAGGCGTGCGCCACCATGACCGCTCTATCGTTTCTAATTTTTTTTATTACTTTTTATTCTCTTTAATTGTTTGACCAATCTTGCATTCTTACATCTGGTAATTTGAGCAACTTCGCTGAAGATAACAATATGTAAATATAACAACCATTGTTAATTCCTATCATCTTGTTTTGAAATCCTGTATTGTTTTTGTGTTGTTTTGTTTTTGTCTTTGTTGTTGTTGTTATTATTTCTCTTTAAAATAAAAGAAAAAGGAAAGAAAATTATGAAATTAGGTAAGAGCCCACTTTGATGGGGTAGTGAAGAACTGAACTCAGAGCCTTTGCACACCTTTCCTAAAATTTTATTATTTTGAGACAGGTCTTGCTAAGTTGCTCTGCCTGGCCTTCAACTCATGATCCTCCTGCCTCAGCCTTCCAAGCAGGTAGGATTACAGGTATGTGCCACTACCCTGGATACAAGCCCTGCATTTTCATGAGCAGGCTGTCAAATAGCTTTGCAGGCCTCTCAGTGATTATTTTTGGGCTCCTCTGATCATGCAGGGCTGTTTCAGGGCCTTGGCCCCCATGATGGCTGCTCCTAAAGTGGGCTGACAGACCAGCACTCATCACTGCCACCCTGTGAACCTCAAGGACACTCTGAGTACCTCACGCTAATGAGGTCCCCACCTGGTGAGTCAAGAAAAGGGGTCCATGCTCTACTGTGTTTTCTACCATCTGGACATGATGTTGACCCCGTGCACAGGCTGATGTGTCACCCTGTTGACTGACCTCATGCTAGCTGAGGGACGACAGCAAATGCATTTCCACTTGGCTGCCTGACAGTGAGTGAGCACCTTGGATTCCTCATGTGTAAAACAGGACAAGCTTCGGTTATTTCCAAGGGCTGTTCTGAAACTTCAGGGAGACGGGACCCAGGAGGGAGCCTGGCATGCACCGGCTGACCCTAAGCTGGGCACCGAAGGCCACAGTCCCCGTTCCTGGCTACGTGCTGCCATGATACATGTCTCTATAACTTGATCCTACCACTCCCGATGGGCAAGTGCCCTGACACCAACTCCTTTTTGGCCCTGCTCAACATACTCCCCACATTGTCACCTTTAGTCTGTCACCTGCTAGGTAGAGAACTCACAGGTTTCTGTGGCCTTCTCTTCCTCCTTGTCCTCCCCTGCCTCCTCTTCTTGGCTGGGCAACTTCCTAAATTCCGAAAGGTCAGTCTGTAGCATCTGGGAAATGGCCTCGTGGGTCAGAGCTGCAGCAAGTGGCAGTGGGGCATTCCTAGGGATAAGAGTGAGAAGTGAGGCCTGGGTGATCCCCCAGCAGGAGCTGGTATCTGGCACTCCCCAACCAGAAAGTTCTGGAGAGAAAGAAGTCATGGCTCACACCCTGCCGGGGTCACAATGAGCTGGGTACCCTTTCTCCTTATGGGTCATTCATATATAACTCAGGGGAGGCAGATAGGCCTCTTCCACTGGGACCCGGCTGGACCAACTGCAATGCCGGGGCTGGGGAGGAAGGGGCGCCACCAAGACATGGGACCCTCAGCGGCTGCGCACACTGACATTCAAGCTGATGGTCTGTGTCCACAGGAGAGAACACTGAGTCACCAACACAAGCTGGTGAACCCCAAGGCATGTTATGAGCTGAATGGTGCCCCTCTCTACTCGTATGTTGAAACCCTTGCCCTCAGTACCTCAGACTGGGACCTTTCTTGGAAACAGAGACAATGTGGATGGAATTAGTTAGTGAGGTTCCCTTGGAACAGGATGAGCCCCTACTTCGATGACCGGGGATGAAAAAGGGGAAATCTGGACACAGACAGGTACACTGGGAGAAAGCATTGTAAAAATAAGCCAGAAATGTAGACAATGAGCCTACAAAGTGAGGATGCCAAGTACTGTCTGAGAACTGCCAGACGAAACCCGCCCTGCCGGTACCTTCACCTCAGACTTCTAGCCTCCAATGAGAATCAGTCTCTGCTCTTTAAGCTTCATGGTCTGTGATGTGTGGGTGCAACAGTCTTAGGAGGCTGATTCAGGGAGCATGGGACCCAGGCACTGTTATCAAAGATAAGCCATGTATTGTAAAGGATAAGCCAGGGCCCCTGGGCAGCGAGGGCAGGGGTGATGGGAATATGGGGCAGGCAGGCTTGGTGGCCATCAGGAGCCAATGATTTGGTCCGTTTGGAAGAAAGACATGGTATGACTGGATTGACATCTTATACCTTTTGGTGTAGAGGGTGAGCTGAGGGGTAAATGCCGGTGGGAAGGTGCTGACCACAGTCCAGAAGAGGTCAAGGCCAGAGCTGAGCAAAGGGCCATGGGGATGGGCCAGAGGGGACAGAGAGAGCTGCACTGGGCAGGCTGATCAGGAGTGGGGCAAGAGGAACAGGGACAGACGAAGTTTCTATTCTGAATAGCTGGGGGTGGTGGTAGATACCTTAACTAACCTGCCTGGGACAGGGCAACACGTTCTATGCCAAGGGTTCTCAGGTTCTGCTGAGCCCCAGAGGCCTGGAGAGCTATGGGAACATGGCCTGGCGGGAGATGGAGCCGTGGGGTAAATGGGGGTGAGGGTCAGCAGGAGCTCTCCCACTCAGGAGGAGGACCAGGAAGCAGCTGGAAAAGTGGAGACCAACCGTGAGGGTGTCCTGCCTGAGGCCATGGAGGAAAAGTTATGAGAAGTGAGACTTGATGGGTGGCTTCAAAGGTCAGAGAACAGAGCTGAAGAGCCAAGTAGGCATAGAAGGGGCAGACAAGGAAATCACTGCAGGCTGAAGGCAGAGGAGGGGAAGAAATGCCAGTGTCCAGTCAGGGGCCTCTGTATGTAGGCAAGCAGAGGCGGGTGAGTGGCAGATCAAGAAGAGTTTTGAGAAGAAAGAGACTGAGGCCGGCTGTGGCTAAGCAGGCCAGTGGGGAGCATGGCTGAGATTCTGTGACATCACCCACCCGGCACACACACACACACACACACACACACACTGGGGCTTTTTGTGTTGAGGACTCCACATCTACCGAAGCCCTCACTGGATCTCTCAGTAAAAGAAATCACCTCTCCCGGCGGCCCTACAGTCTCTACGATGTATCTTGATTCCCAGAATCTGCCTCTCCGCCCACTGGGGAACCCCAGAAGCTGGAGGACGTGCATCCACCTCTGTGTGCCCATCCCCAGGCACAGCTCAGTGAGTCTCTGCAGGGCTGACCCAGGTTTAACCTGAGGACAAGACCCTCCCGGCAGCCTGGCTGACGGGTCCTAACCTGTAGGGGCTGAGCACCTCAGGCATCTACTGATGGTCTTTAGAACTCTTGGGTTGTTTTGTTTTGTTTTGTTTTTTTAAATAAGAGGGTCACTCAGGGAGAAGTTGCTGGAACCAACTTGAAAAACAACCAGGCAATAGAAGATTGAAATTTAATGCAGAGCTGGGGGTGGAGCACTCGTGCGCTCAAGAGCTTGGGGTTGACCTCCAGCCCCACAAAACAAGCACCCCCCTCAGTCAAACAATCCATCCAAGACATGAGAAATGAGTTCCTCTGCCGTTTGGGGGTTTCCTGCCGGGCTCTGGGTTTTCCCTTTTCCCGGCAGGAGAGGGATGCCTAGGCTGCCCAGTCCTGGTGAGGTCATGCTTCGGCTTCCTGCCGCCCGCTGCTACTGCTGGGGGCAGGGAGGCAGCTTCTGGTGGGGGAAACCAGACAATGGCTGGCCACTGGCCACCTGCTTCCCCTTCCTGGACATGCCTCCTATCTCATCCAAGGGGCGTGCCCATGCAGACGCCCTGGAACCCCTCGATCCTGAGTGGATGCATTATGAAAGTCAATGCTGATTCTGGTCCCTGTGGGGTGGGGTTCCCGAACTTGCCTGGAGGGTGCTCTGGGGAACTGGCGCAGGCACTCAAAAAAACCAGTCCATCCACCTTGGGGGTTAGAGTCTAGCAGCAGAGATGAAAACTGCATCTAAATTCCAGGGGAAGGTATGCACTACTCGGGGACAAATGATACGGCAGTGAAACTGCCACTGGTAAGAGAGGAAGACAGGACAGAACAGTAGCACACCCTCGAGCTCAATGATCTGACTTCCACAGGCTCGGACGATGCCATCTGAAATCTGAAAAAGGGCCATGGGGCTGCAGACTCGAAGCCCTTTATATCCAAGAGCTTCCTCCTGGGCAGTACGGGCAGAAGCCCAGCATGAAGGAGGTCTTGAGAGAGAGCTGCTGCGCGTGTGCATGAGTGGTGGGAGCTCGTGGACAGCCCCCAAGTAATGACTGCGCCCGTGAATGTGCACGTCTGCATAAGGGACAACAACACTAGAAAAGAACTAAGATGACAAATCCACTAGGATGGCTGGGAAAAAGAAGACCTTAAAATACTCTATTAATTAACACATTTTAACATGTGTTAAGGAGGATGGATATAAGGGCCTAAGGAGCGCCCCTGCTCTGGGAGCTCTGTGCCACCCGCTCCAGCTTCAGACCGAAGGGGAGTTTTGGTCCCTCACCCATTTCTTACCACTGACATCCACGTCAAACAAGCTCTGGTTCTCCCTCAGCATGTCTAAAACCCACTGGGGCCCAAGGCTGTGTAGCCCCTGCATATCCCCCATCAGAACCCCAGTTCCTGCTCAGCCTTCCCAGGGCACCTGCTGCTGCTGGTCACTGCCAACACTTTTCGTGCTCCAGCCCTTCCCGCTCACTGCTGTAGAGCAAAGCCAGCCCTCGCCATCCAGACTCCCCACCTCCTGGGGAACCGAAGGCCTCATCCAGGCCCTGCACTGTGGCTTGTCCCCCTCCCGCCCTGATGCCTCAGCTCAGAGGCTTGCAAACCCCTGGCCTCCTATTGATGCCCCAGCTCAAGCCACATTCCCTCATCAGCCCACTAAAATCCTCCTGACCTGGCTTTCCTCCTTGATACCCCGGACTCCCCAAAGGCAATGACAGCTCCTTGTCACCTCCATGGAAGGCCCAGTGACTGCTGTCCCCCACCTAGAATTCCCTCAACTCCCTTAAGTGCCACTGTTTTGCGGCTGTCTCCTCTCCAGAAGGCAGGCGCAGGCCCTTCACTCCCTCCCACACCCAGCGTGGCTGCTCTGCCCCGCCCCAGCGGACTGATTCACTTTGCACCACCTGTCTCTACATTTCTCTCAAACCCACCAGCCATACCCTTTGCACACGTCTCCTACCTTGTGGAGCATGGTCACAGAGCACTGCTTCCTGAGCCATACGGCTATGTGTCACAAGCCACAGTGCGTGGCCCGTGCACTTGGCAGGGCCTGCTCCCATATACACAGGGTGAGTGCCATGTGCCCCTTCTGCTGGAGTCCAGTCTCCAGCTCTCCCAGGTAGCACAGACCTACCTGCTGCTCAGGAAGTCCATCGCCAGCTCCACCAGCTCACCCTCCACCTCCTCCTGGCTCAGCACTGCTCCCCAGGGCTTCCATGGCAAGGGGCTCTCCGGGTTCAGCGGGGCTGGGAAGTCTCGGAGAAACGCATCCAGGAAGTCTGGGATTTTTGAGTCACAGGCCATCTGGCTGCTGTTCTGTGGGGCTCCAGAGGAGACGCTCAGAGCATCCCGGGGAGCATGCAGCTGGGACCAGGATGGGGCAGTCTCCAGTCAGTCTTCACTCTGGGGAGAGACGGTGAGATCACAGGGCAATAGGCGCCCTCCAACGTGGAGTGCAAGTGCTGCTTTGTCTCCTTTACCTGCGAGCGATGTTAAGCAGGCATCTCACCAAGTCCTGGGCCTCACAGTTTAGGGAGGACAAAGTAGAATGACAACCCCAGGTAGTGTCCTAACACGGGTCCAAGTGGGGACATGATAGTGCCTGGAGAAGCAGCCTCAGGAGATGAATCTGGGGACAGCAGCCATGTGGACATTTTGGAGATGGGACAGAGGAAGATGCAGTCCCAGCCGAGGGTGGCTGGTGTGGCCAGATGCAGACAGCGGAAGGACCCAGGGCCAGGCCACAGAGGCAGGCGACAGACCGGACCTGACCACGTCTCCCTAGCAGCCAGAAGGGTTCTGGATGGAAGAAGTGATGTCATCAGGTTTGTGCGCTTACAGATGGTGACCAAACAGGAGAAGGGACATTTGCTGGAGCCAATAGGCAGTGAACCTATGGCACACAGGCCGCGGTGGGCACACACAGCCTTCTCTGTCAGCACTCAAGCCAAGTCGCCACAACAGTGCCTAGCATCGGATAACAGTCGTTCCTTCAAAACAAAAACCTCAGTATTCAGGTTCAATTGTAACACCGGCCCTTTGCGATAAATAAGTGGGCCTGGGTTGCAGTTTGGGTGTTCGTCTCTATAAGGTCTGCCATCACTGGTTTAGGGGAACATCGTGTAAGAGCAGTTAGTCCAAGGGGATGTGGGAGATGGTCCAAAGTGGGAGCAAGAAGCGCTCCTTGGAAACCCCAGGGCTGCCCAAAAGGTGAGCAAGAGAGACAGAGAAGGCTAGCCTGGACTGGGTAGTACACTCTAGGATGTGGTCCAGCCTGGTCAATGCTCTCTAGTAGGAGTGAGTCATGAATTTAGAATGGCTCAGGTCTCCTAAGCTCTGGTTGGAGGAGAGGTACCACTGGATAGATGAGGGAAGGGTCCCAACACCACGTCAAATCAGTGAAGGATGGGGTATAAAGAGAAAAGGGTAAACTGGGGCGTGGTGGCGCATGCCTGCAATCCCAGTACTTGGGAGGCTGAGTCAGGAGGATCGCCTCAAGTTCGAGGCCAGCCTGGGCTACACAGTGAGAAACCCTGTCTCAAAACACACAGAGTAAAGTGTGATAAATTAAAGTAATAAAACTTCTCCCTTCTTTCATAGACAGAAATCAAAAGTTAATTTGTTTTAAATAAATAAAAATACATAACATACAAAAGATGTAGAAATAGAGACACCTGTTATTGATAGTTATGGGGCTAGACTTAAATTCCACTTCCATATTTACGTACAAGTCCAAGTAAATAAAACTCGTTGCCTGGGTTACAAAAGGCAAGTAGGTTTAAAAAAAAGAAGAATGTAAAGCACAGAAAGAAAAAGCAGATGGGAGCAGCACTTATACTCTAACCACAAAGTAAGACCTTGTGAAATGGAGCATTGAGAGTAGGCTGGGAGCTGGGGTGGGAGACGGAGGGAGGAAAGGCGGGGCGTGCCAGTGCAGACCAGCAGAGCTGCGGAGCCTGGCTGATTACGCCCAGGAGAAAGCAAGGAGATGGAGTGAATTTTCCAGCAAGCTCAGGACCAAGCCACCTCCTTGGTTTGTGAGCTGCTCTGGCCTCCTAGAGCTGTGAGTAACTGAGTAGCACAGTGGTGGCCCCAAGCAAGAGCTTGGAACAGGCCTGGCCCCCATGCAGCTCTAAATGATGTAGAGGCACTGAAATCTCCAGCTGTGCTAAATGCGCTCGCAGTAAATTTATGATCAGGGCTGAAATGGAAGGACAGCATGCTCACGCCACACAACACAGTTGGAGAACCCTCGGCCCACAGCAAATTCTGTACTTTCAAGTACAGAATTCAAGGCCCTCCACCTTCCAGGCTCCTTGTTGGGGATACTCTCTGAGCATTCTCTTCTTGCCTCCTGGCCAGTTTCCTGTACCTGGTTCCCCTGAGGTTGGAGGCACTCTGCGCCACACTACAGCACTACAGACCCTAACTCTAGCAAGCCCATTCTGTGCCCTGCCATACTGTCCCCTGTGCCTACTGTCCTGAGCCCAGGGCCTGGCATGGGCCCCAACTGCCATTCGTACCACAAGCGCTGAGTGGGACGTGGAGGGGGGCGGAGAGGCAGCACAGTGCGACACCATGATGCGTGCACACAGAGCTCTGCCTGCATCTGCAGAGGGGTCAGACTGCGTGCCAAATGCCCACTTTTGTTAGAAAGGCCGAGTGCCCAGAACCTAACCTGCTTGCTGGAGACCACTGAGATTCACTTCTACATCACCCAGCTTGGGCCAGAGGTGAGAAAAACTAGGATAGTTTTCCTTCCTGGGACCCAGACAGGTTGAAGGACAAGGATAATTTCCTTCCTTGCCCCCACCCCATTCAACTCCTGAGTCTGATGCATGCCACACCAACAAGAGCAAAATCATCCCTGCCTTTGGAAGTTCACAACCTAGAAAGAAAGGCACACAGCAGTGGGAGAAATCCTGACCTGTTCAAAGGGGGAACCAGGAGCCCTAAGAGCGCCTGGATGGGTAGGGGACAGCGCCTGGGTGGTGAGTTCTTTTGGGGTCACTGGAAGAGACAGTCTCAGGAGGCAGGTGGTACCTGGCTGACAGGTAGCCACAGGACGAGGTTGGTGGGGAGAGGTGGGGCCGTTCTGTTGCAAGGTTGTCCTGACTCACCGGTGTCACCAGCGGGAAGGTTGTGTGCAGGAGTCTGTGCAAGTCGCCAAGGATGGGGTGAGGGGCACAGGAGGGACTCTGGGCTCCCAACCTCAGAGGTACCTGCCGAATGGGACCCCTGGCTGGTTCCTCCCAGCTCCCAGAACAGTGCCCCTCTACACTACTCATCAGTTGGCAGCCACAAGGTACGGCGGATGGTGCTGCCAGCTAATATCCGCCAGGGCCTGGGGCTGCCAGCACTGCTCCCAGCACTCTTCCTGTTACCGCTGTTAACCTCCTGAAAACTTCGCTGTGGTTTTCTCCATTTTACAAGTGCGGGCTATAGCATAAGGGCTGCGACTTGCCCAAATTCCTTAGGTAGGGCTCATGCTGGGGAACCTGGCTCTAACTGTGACAAACCCTGGAAGCTGATCTGACTCCTTCCTGTGCCTGGCCCTCACTGGTCACCAACTCCCAGATTCAGCTCTCTTCAGGCTCCTTTTATTTTCTGTGCCCAATACCCTAGGGCAGCTCCCACCTTCCTGCTCTTGTGCTTTGCTGCCCCACCTGAGAACTCTGACCTATAAGGCTCTGCTGACATTTTCCCACCTTCAGGGTCTAGCAAGCTGCTTTCCTCAGCTCTGTGCTTAATTTGAAATATTTATTTTCCTTTTGTTTACCAGTTTTGATGCAAAAGCCCAACTAAAGGATATCTGTAAGACTGCATTTTCCCTAGGTGGCACAGAGAAAATATCTGTTGAGTTTTATTTCAGAACCCCAGTTTAAAAAACCAAAAACACCAGCAATCCTTAAAACTGTTGTTAGGAAAGCACTGTACTCAATGCTAACTTTTTTTCCCTACCAATGGAGGATCTTATTTCTTTACTCATAAATAACCATTAGGAATAGCTTGGTTTAAACCTACACACACACACACACACACACATATTGTTGTGATAAAATACATGTAACACAAAATTTATCATTCACATTAACCTTTTGTTTTTTTCAGTGCTGGGAATTGTGCATGCTAAGCATAAGTTCTACCTGAGCTAGTGACGCTCCCAATCCCTAACTTTAACGATTTTTAGACCAGGCCTGGTGGCACACGCCTGTAATCCCAGCACTCGGGAGGCTGAGGCAGGAGGATCGTTGCAAGTTTGAGACCAGTCTGGGCTACAAAGTGAGATCAAGGCCAGCCTGAACTGCATATTGAGACCCTGTCTCTAAAAGACAATTTAAAAAAATTCTTTTTAATGTATAGCTCTGTGGTATTAAGCACATTCTCACTGTTGTTCAACTGCTCTCCTTTTTACAGGGTTTCTTTTGTTGAAGGGTCCCAAGCTCACTGTGGTCAGGGAATCCACCCTGACCGTTTGTGTTCAGCAGGTGGTAAGTGTGGGGACGCAGAGAAGAGGAAGTTGCCATCATGGGCTGAGATGTGTTGCCTGAGGCCTGGCACCTTCAGGGAGAACACTAAAGGGTTCTCCCACTACAGTGAGAAGATACAGGTCTGAAGGACAAGGCTGGCTTTCTGTGACATCTCAAAGGAATTCCACAAATGAACAATTTACAGCTTTCAAAACAGTTATTCTATTTACCACTCACGACTATACTGACAGATACCATCAGAACACTCTTACCTTTCACAACTATGCTAACAGTTACAAGAGGGGGCGGGCACCTAAGATTACAGGAGTAGGAAATGGCAAAGCAGGACTCAATCGGGGTCTTCTGATGCCCTGTGACTTTGCCACTTCCACCTCAACTGGATGTAGGAGGAAAAATCAAAATTGACAATAGTACGGATATGGGCATAAACAAACAGAAATGAGCTAGAGATGGCCTCAGAGTGGCTGCCAGCCTTACACTATCCCCTGAGATGGAAGCATACCTCAGCCCACAGAGCTTGTTCCAGGGAATGCCATGAGGATGTGTCACTAGGGGGACCACGGGGTGTAAGGCTTTGATGCAGTCCACTGTGTTGGGCCCTGTGCAAAAATTCCCACAGGCAGGTACTGTTTCTCCCTATTGCACAGAGAGGTGAAGGGGCTTGCCCGGGATCAACTAGCTGCAGGGGTGGTGCCCAAGGTCTCCATGCCTGAAGCTGTAATTTACACAATTTAGCTGATGCAGCTGTAGCCCAAACTCTGCTTTAACTGAGACACTCACCTTAACCACCACCCTCCCCCCGGCCGCGGAGCCACAGGTGGGTGCACTCAGGCTAAACGCTGTGGCCCCACAAAGGGGCCTGCACGGTGGGGTTAGCGGGGAAGGCGCTGGGCCCGACCC